CTCTTGGCAAAACGCAGGAACATACAGGGTTTGCCAGGCCCATTTGAAGCGCTTTTATTTTAACTGCACTATTCCGCACATCACAACCTCTGCCACTTCAAGCAAAGGGGATATCCCTCAACGCTTGTGGCAGCATGTAAGGAAAAGGAAGAAATTCTTCTGCTGCATGTGTGAAGTGCTGATTCATTTATCCTTGAAATAACTCCGAGTTGTGCTCCGTTTTCCAGTACCTCAAACAGACTATATTCTACTACAGCAGAGTGTGAAATCTAAAGCAAGTCAGCTGACCTAATAAAATACCTGGCTGTGGACAGACTGGACTTTGGGTTTTTTGGGGTTGGTTTTTTTTTTTTTTGGACAACAGTAGGCATTTTGGAAACCTTAGGTGAAAGCGTTGTGAAGAGGTGAGCACATTTCTCTCCCACCAGTCAGGTCATTCTTATTACCCCCATAAGACATTTATTTGCAATGCCATTTTTAGGCTGATTCATGCACAACGCTAATGCCAAACAGCTTTCAAGAGCTTGAAGGCTGCTGCGTGTCAAGCGCGTTTACTGGCGCCACACTTCAAATAGCTGTTTTTCACACGGTTACGTTTTCTCACTGCCATCACTCCCACGTGTCCACAATCAAGCAAGAAGCTGACACACTTACCACACACTTCAGGAGGTCGTGACTGTGGGATAGACACATCTGCTATAAAAAGGACGACACGCAGCCAGACACAATGACAAAGAACCTGGGGCTTTGCAGTGGCCTACCACTCCGGACTGATTCACAATATTGCTTAACAAATCTGCTTTTCACTCACACTTGTGCTAATGACAGTGGCTCCGTAAGGCAACCTTAAAGCAAGTCTGAACTGAGTAGTCAGCCCACTTTGAGTTTCCTTCGTGCTGTCCAAACAACATGAATAAAAGCAAAGGCTTCCATTCTTACACAGCCACACATACAGCTGTTTATCGATAGCAAATTCCTCATCTACTTGCCCAAAACCAAAGCTTCTGCAACTTGTAGCAGGTCAGTTATCCATAGGGATTTCAGCTCATACCAGTCATTGGCAAATGTGTCCAACGGAAACCAGCGTCTGCAAGTAACTATGGCTGGTGACTAACGATGGACTCGGCACCGTACAGGCACCACCTTCCTAATGTACTAAAGGCTGCCCTGAAAGATGACGTTGTTCTTACCTAGATCCCCCAGATAAACCAGACATCTGTGACATGCCATCTGTGCCCACTCCATCTCCTTCTCCGATGCAGACACAGGTTTCTTGCAGCCTACATGAGAAATATAAAATCACATACACCATTGGGTAAAGGCTGCTGGAAAGACACACGAGCAGCCTACGCCTCTGCCTGAGATACCCAACATTTCACCCTATGAAAACAAAGACCACGTGGTCAGGCCACACTGTTGGTTGCTGTCTGTGGCATCTTATAGACCAGCACTGGTTCACTCTTGTTGTCAAAATGTGGAAAATAAATGTAGAAAATACACGTAGACACTGACGCTCACCCACTGACACTGATGCTCACCCACTCCCCCTTCAATTCCCCGCTGATTTGGGGCAGTGCATGTCACTGCATCACTAACAGTCACCGAAATGACTGTCACTCAGACTTTGTCTACAAGGTATGCCACAGAGAGCTGGCTCCATTTGCACTCACGTGAGAGGACAAAAGCCAATTCCTGTCTACAAGCCATGTGATCGTGTTAACATAGCATTGAGCACAAGCTAATAAGGCCTGTTGAGAGGCTGATTTTGTTAGAGTGGCTAACGAGGCCTTTGGATAGGACTCGGCGCAAATCCCTGGAAGCCAGAACGAAGTCTGAGCACACTTGCACCGGGCAGTAGCATACAATGTGGATGTACCTGCCCCAACATTGAAGATGGAAACAAACTCATTGTCTCGAGACTAAGATCTAGATTTAGGACTGGTCAACCAAAAAGGGAGGAAGAGAAATAACACAAGGAAAAGTCAGGACAGCAAATGTGTGTTGCAGACAGGGCAGCTGCAGTCAGTTAGGAAGAACTGCCTCCGGACAAAACTGCCTTTGCGTCCACAGAAGGGCAACAAAGCTGGTGAAAGGGCTGGAAGGAACGTCCTACGAGGAGCAGCTAAGGACTTTGGGCTTCTCTAGTTTGGAGAGAAGGAGGCTGAGGGGCAACCTCATTGCTCTGCAGCTTCCTGAGAAGGGGAGGTGGAGAGGGAGGTGTTGATCTCTCCTCCCTGGTATCCAGTGACAGGATACACAGGAACGGTTCAAAGCTGCGTCAAGGGAGGTTTAGACGGGGCATTAGGAGGCATTTCTTTGCCGAGAGGGTGGTCAAACACTGGAACAGGCTTCCTGGAGAGGTGGTCGATGCCCCAAGCCTGTCAGCGTTCAAGAGGCCTTTGGACAACGCCCTTAATAACACGCTCTAACTTTTGGTCAGCCCTGACTTGGTCAGGCAGTTGGACTACATGATCATCGTAGGTCCCTTCCAACTGAAATACTCTAGTCTATACTGAACTTAAAAAAAAAAAAAAAAAAAAAAGCAGTTCAGGCAGTGGAAAGTGTCAAAAGCAACAGGGGAAGGCTTCAGCCAGCTGATCTGAAGTAACTTAAACCATCAAACATGACTCAGTTCCTGGGAGGGGCTGCCACTGGCGAGACCGTGCTTCCCATCTCCCCACCAGCACCTTCTCCCCAGCCAGCGGGGCCACGGTTCAGCCAGCGATGAGGAGGCAGAGGCTACCGCGGTCACGCTTCCTCTCCAGAGAGCATTCACTGCCACCGGGCAGGCCGGTGTCAGGGATTCAGTCTAGGTTCAGTCTTCCTGTTGCCAAGGACTTCCACCTTCTGGAGGAGAAAATTCCCCTCAAGCAGGAATCCCAAAGGAAGACTTTTAAGACCAGTCCAGCCTGCAGTCTGAGTTGCTTCCCTCTTGGCTTAGTTTAAAAGAGTAGAAGTGAAATCTGGAGGCTTAAGTGACCAGTGAGGAACGGTTCCCACTTACTAACGGGCATCGTATGAGTTGCATTATACAAATCCACGGCCTTCAAATCTGCGTCCATGTATGCTATTGGACCTATTCTCCCCTTCTTTTTTGCTTTGAATCCTCTTGCTCCCATTTATATAACCATCAAGTTGTGTCCACCCTAATTTGTAGTTCATACAGGATTCTTACACATCCATCTTTTCTGGATATGCCAGGTTACATCTCTGTTATCCAGTTACATACTCATCTGCTGCATCCTTTTAATTAAAGAGCCTAAACACATTAAGAAACCTGAATAAGGGGAGCCTTTCAAATGCAATCACCCGCCACAGGGTACACACCCATCTGGAATGCGCATTTCGAGAATTTATTAATTCTGCAGTACTGCGATACGTTTCTCAAAGCAACAGTTGCCAGGGACATCTGCCTTTTAAACTGACATTTCAAAGCCGATCATGATACAATCATCTCCCAGAACTAAGAATAGGATACCAGGAACTAAAACGTTCTAGCTAAAGACATCCTAACTTCTCTTATGCCGGTTTCTGCTGTCCTCCCCCTGCCAGCTTTCTATGTCAAACCCTTCCTAATACAGTTCACAAAATGTACAGAAGGGGGTTGGACTAGATGATCTTTAAAGGTCCCTTCCAACCCAAACCATTCTACGATTCTATGATTCCATTTCTCACCTGGACAGAAACATGTGCCTTGAAGCCACTGAGCACAACCCAGACGTGAACAAACCATTACGAGGGAATCGAGGATGTGAATGCATATGCAGCCTTGAGCTGTTTCAAGACTGTAAACACTCTTATTCTTCCTCCCTTAATAGGCAAGATACCTCAAATTACCCTGCACCTAAGGTAACCGCCTCTGTGCATGCCCTGAGACAGCTAGCATACCTTACTGCCTCACAGGAGCTTCCTCATGTTCTCAGGCCAAGATTCAATAGTAATTTCAAAGCTACACGCAGCACAAGTAGGAAGAAGGTGAAGGGAGCACAGATAGAAGGGGCGCCAAGAGGAGGAACAGTATCTTACCTCTAGCGAATAGGATGTCCTGACAAAAATCTGTTGATTTCAAGAACCTGTTCCCCCAGTGGCCCATTTGTCTGCTTTAATTAAGCTTTTAAAAACATTCTGTACAGCCAGAAGCGCTCTTCAATTTTCCATAAAAATCTGCCATCACCAAACACTTACTAAAGCATGTTCTAGCAGCATTTTTTTCCTGTGAGAAACCCTTCTTTCTTCCCTAGTATTAAAAAAAAACCCAACAAAACAGTGCCATGGAAAAGAGACAAGCGGTCTGTTCTAAACAGATAATCAGTTAATCAGAAAGGAGAGGGGAGGAAAAAAAAAAATCCCTTGAACGCCGAAACAAAGATGGACTAGCGCAAGGGGAAGCCACCTCTCTGGGATTCAGGCCTTACCCACGAGTCCCACACGCGAAGCACCAACCTATTAGAGGGTCCGTTACGTGCGTCCAGTCAATACAGCACTGCAGCTCCAGCTGATAGTGAGACTGAATGTAGAGGAGAAGGTGCTGGTAAAATCCTATGCCAGCAACTAAGTGAGTCCGGTACGCACACTCCAGAGTGCTACGGCTGTGAATGTGCTGGAGAGAAGAAAAATGAGGATACGTTAATGCGGTCCGGGTGACATTTTAGGCTGGCCACCCAAGTTGTAGCAAGTGTGAAGCAAGATAGTGGGTAGCTCAGCTGTAATTGGTTTTGCACAGTTCTGGACCTCCTCTTGCTCAGCAAGGTTGTATCTAATGGTATGTACTAAGGGTCAACATCAAGAAGGAGAATACTTCCCGCAACAACAAATAAAAAAAAAAAAAAAAAAAATCAAGGTGTCTGGTTAGAGCACCTTAAATACATTCAGACAACCAGATCACCAGGAGAGAGTTCATGGCATTAAAAAATACAAGTGTGAATACTGTGAGTACTTTCTAGTGATCAACTCTAGCAAAAACAATCAGCACTGACAAAGCCTCTTAAGACCATCGTTCTACATGGAGGTATATATCTTTTGAAGATGGGAAGACAAAAATTACGAAAATGATGTTGAAATATGCTCTGCAATGGCAGCTCTCTCAGCAGATCATTAAAGCTTACCTGCCCACAGCTAGACAACAAGTATATGTCAGCGCCATGATTAAAATGATTGATGATTAAAATGATTAGGAATGCCTGGCTTCCTGCCCTGCGTTCAGACCACAACTTCTCCAAGCAAATGAAGCTTTTAACTTGGTCTCACCCATTGCACAGCCGGAGACTTTCTCATGCCAGAGCCATAGATACCTGCCTTTTTATTTGTTTTAATGAGCTGGATAACTTCATAGTAAACTTTTCTCCAGAGCAGTTCTTCTGCTTTTCTTCCATAATCCACTGGATGCAAGAACATCAGCTTCACACACAGCTCCCGCAGCCTGAGACAGACAGCAGAGAATTCACATTTAGCTACAGCAGCTTCAAATACAGCTGCCGCTACATAAGAGGAAAATCTGAATTCATTACAATGGATGAGCTAGGCCATCTGCTGATGGTACAGCTTGTATCACTCCCACACAAGAGCATCTGGAAAAGCCATACACCTAACCAGTTACCTTGGCTCAGCTGGCCATCAGTAACTTCCTAAATTGCAGTAATGTCAAGAATTGTCTTGACAGCTTAAAAAAATTAGTAAGAAAAATCATCCCTGCTAGGCACCCTCTGAACCGGACAAAAGATTTTACACACATATAAGACGTCTCTTCGCCACGCAGTTTTTTAAAGATAATTACAAGGAAGGCACTGGCCAACATGAAGATGAGTTACTTGTGTTACAACGACACCCAGGAAAGCCTCCAGCCATGGACTGTACGGTTAGGTGTTGTTCAAATACAGATCCGAAATCTAGCCTCTGCTTCAAAAACCTGGAGGTCAACAGGCGCACTACAAATCAAACACATGGTGAAACTGCAGATTCAAAACCTCCACGTGCTGCCTCACGTGGATTTTCCCCAGCCAAATACAAAAAACAAGTGCCCTGCCCAACTTACTTGTTCCTCAAGCTGATGTTCTCCGGCTTGAACACTTCTTGATACGCTGCCTTATTACCAAGGATGAGGTCCAATCGATGAACAGCCTCTACCACTGCTCTGCAAGGTAACACAGAAAGAAGAGTTTCAGAACAGCAGGTTATTTGGGATTATTTCACGAGATCTGGGATGCCTACACAGAACCATACTAGCCTAGTTAATGCCATTATTAGCGAGCCACATTATACCACCACACAGTATTAATTGATTTCCTTTCTGCACTCTATTTTAAAAAGCTTACGGAAAGAAGAAAAAAGCAGAGTTACATACACTGTAATGATTTTGCTGTAAATCAGCTGTTTAATCACCAGTTATCACTGCCTGCCTGGTCAAAAACGTCAATTATTTCTACAGTAGCGAAGTCAGAAATGTCTTTGGACGTGTTAGCAACTTTTAACCTCAGCAATTAAATCATGCTACACATACACTCAGATTAATTTAAACGTCTTGAACTCTATGATTAAAAAATGGATTGATTTCTAACAATTACTGTTTTGACAGGGTAAAAGTCAAACCACCAATTCCTGTTTCCTTACCAACTTGTCTATGAAAGAAGGCAACTCACGTCATCCTCATTTGCCAAAACTTCCTGATCTTCGTTACAGAGATTCATTGATTAAAACCCTTAAAGATCTCTCAGTGATAGATTAACAGAGATATGCAAAACCAGTCTAAAACATGGAATTTGTTACGAGATGTTTTTTTCCCCCTGAAAGCCAACTAAAAGGCAGACCAAGCAATCTCCAAACACCCGAGTCATGCAAAAAAAATACTTCTGTGAATCACTGCCCAAGACTCTCCTCCTGGAGAAGGAATACCACAGTGTGTGTAAAATCTCAAGCACTCAGAAGTCTGTAGCTGTGAACAAATCAGACTACAATTCCAGAACGTTGCAGTGAAAGAAAACCAGGCACTTACAGAAGCGTTAGCGCTGACAGAAAGTACCCTCATCAATATCTCATGGACAGTTCGATAAAGCAAAAATTGACCAGCCGTGTTAAACCCTTCCTACCAAGAGAGATCATTTCTAAACCTCTGCCTTTGTCAAGCCCGTTTTGAGGTCAATAAACTGACTCCTGAAATTAACTTTTCCCAGCTGTTGACCCTACACGTTCCTCTTTAAGAAACGTGTCCTCCAAGCCACCCCAGCCATTAGCTATCAAACTCCACGGGTACTTCTTCTCCCCCTCAACTCCACAGCTACCTACCTGTCATTCCTCATTTGCTCTAATACCTTTACTGCTCCTACTGCTGAGCCTGCCGCACACGGAGAGTTGTTTGAACAAGAAGCTGAAGACAAGCCAGATGCATTGTAAATACAGAATGAGACAGACCCGATCAGAGCAAGCTTCCGCAAAGCAGAACTGTTAGATGCTGCTCCCAGCCTGCTCCTCCTCCCCAAAACCTCCATCGGCTGCAGAATGCAAACTCCCTCATCACACTCACAATGCAACGGCTGAACCTTCTTTTCACCCACATGCAGAAACGGTTGCCAGACTGAATACAGGGCACTCGCATGGCACTTGCGACCAAGAGCATGCAAACCATATGCTAAGGAGGTAGGGTGAAACCACCACTGCTTCCTTGAAAACTACAGATATTACTGCAAAGTAACTGACGGTTTCATTTACCAGCCCCTTACTAGCAAGGCAAATCTCCCTTCACAAACCCACCACACCAAAAGGAACCTCCCTGAAAAAAAACCCAGAACATTCAGGAGCTCAAAGAAAAAATGTCCCATCTCATGCTATGTCACAGGAAGCCTTTCATCCCAGGATAACTGGAAATCTCATTTGTTTTCAGTAAACCACAGAACCTGACAGAAGAAGAGAAGCGTAGGGAATAGGACTGTCTTTCATAATGGCTTGGGAAATCAAAACACCACAGAGTTGAACCAACTTCTTCCTAAATAATCATGAAGAAAACCAAGAATAGAGTAAGAATCACACACAGAAGTCTGCTACTAACCTGGACATCCACAGCCACTTCCGCTCACAGGCATCCTTCTCACATGGCCTGAAGGTCCTTTGGAAACTCTAACAACCTAACACCCTCAACAGCGGTACAGCAGGCAAGCCAGTAAAATGCTTTTTGGTTTACAGGTAAAAGGCAAGAACTACGAAGCATTCATCCAAGCTCACAGCATATTGACAGGAGGGAGAAAAAAACCCCAACAAGCCCCACATACACATTTAGTTTCCCCAAAACAGATCTCCACAAAGTAGCAAGCAACAAACGTATCCTCACTGCAACCTGTGATTTATGTACTGTCGCTGTGTCTCTCAAAGACCCTCAGCAGGAAACAGCGTGGCTCCCAGGGAACTGATTTTTTTTCTATGCAGAAAGGGTGACCAGAAGAAAGGGGAACTGCTTTTTCATTCGATTCCCAGAGAGAAGTATAGGAAATCTATGATCTTCTATTCTTAAAATAGGCAGTCTCTACGTCATCCAAATAGCTGTAAAAATGCGTTCACCGTGCACGGAATCAGCAGCTGCTGTGCGTCTGATACAAGCTTGCGTGTCACTGACACCTCAAGGTGGGAAGTGATTTCAGTGACTACAAGCGGTCGACGCCTGCGTCCAAGGACACGGTTAGTCCCTAGGGTGGGATGTCACACGTGCAGGTGTGAACCCGTGTGTCCAAATCCTCGTGTGCCAGTTCACTGCATTCGAAGGCCCAACACTGCCTCCTTCTCCTGCCACTCACTCAATCCAGATTCCTTTATGGGCACATGGTCCAGGTTCTCTCGCTGCTCAGTAGCTCACATGCCAAACAAGCCCCTCTCTTTTTTTTTTTTTTTTTAATATCTAAAAATAAAAAAGGGTCACAAAACCTCATCTAAGAATCCTCCCGAGTTCAGCAGTGACAGAAATACATCTTGACACTGCGCAGCACGACACACCCATGAAATGACAGGAATTACTCAAAAAGCAGTTGCCAGAACCCCCTTTCCAAGTCGCAAGCAAACAGACAGCTATTTGGCTGCCAACAGTATCAGTGGGTAAGAAATGTGATCAAGCAGTTAAGGAAAGCCTACTCACATGCACCAGGACTCAAATGCCTGCCAAATGTGAAGTACAGAAAAGTTTCCTTTCAGGGACTATGTGAGCAGGGACACTGGAGGGTATTTCACCTTCCCCTCGAGCGCAGGGCAGGAGGCATCCTGGAGCGCGTCTCCCATACAACCCTGCTTCCCACAACAGTCAGGGATGGGCACACGAAGACACCAGTTCCTTCTGCTTACTTTTTACGGGTTCATAAAGCAACCGAGCTGGTGACCTGAAAGCAGCAAGATTTATCTTCTAGGATGTGGGTTTCTGAGCCGTCAGGCAGACCCCACGCTAAAACGTCTTTTTGTTAGCACGAGCTCCGTGGTGCTGCTGGAGGAGGCAGAGGCAAGAGTAAAGAAGAATCCGTGACAGCCAGCGATGACCTGGAAGGATCCTACGTCCGCAGTGGTGAGGAAAGGGGACACGGTGAGGACAAAAAGGTACAGGAGCCAGCCTCGCTTCAAAAATGTTAGGAAACATCGACACAGGCGCTATAGACCATGCACTGATTAAAATGCAATTTAGCATTTGTGCCTCGGGTGGCTTGAGACCGTGGGCTGAATTTTACGTAGCAGTTAAGAGGCCAAATTTTGTCCCAGTACCCATTTTTATACCTGCCGGGTTTAAACGTTGCTTTCAGACAGCACATCAGAACCACAGAGGAGGCAAATCAGATGCCAGTCTATTAAAAGAACCAAGTACAGCACATCATGCCAAGCAGGGTGGAAATGGTCCAACGCGAAGTCCCCTTCAGCCCCGCAGACACCGGTCTATCGCCTTCCTTCTGTGCCATTAACATTCTGGGACGGGGCAAGACGGCAGGGAGAATTATTTATCCTCTCTGTATTTCTTTATTTAATACATCACTAAGAGCCACAGTCTCTGAGGAGTAAGTCATTTCTCAGGGAAAGGAACTGCAGCGATTCATTTGTATTCTGGCATGTGTCAGTACACAAATAATACTGCCCAGAACAAGGCTGGCAGACAAGAATAGTAACGTAAAGCCAATGAGCTAATGGTTACTCAGAATCCGGAAAAGAAATCTGTAAAATAAATCTGGTCACCCTACGCTAAAACATACGTTGTAAAACAGCACCCAGGATAATCCAGTTGCCACATTCTGAGGTGAAACTTGGGGATTATCGGTCCAGGAAGACTTAAATGGAAAAAGATCAAAGACCATCCCACGAACGGCGATGGGCAACCTCATCTCCAAAAGGACAGTCCAATGGCCAACGTACTTGCCAAGGGCTGCGGAGACCTGAGCTCAGCGCCCACTGCTCTCACAAGCAGACACAAAGCTGATCCCATGCGAGCACAGTTTATAGGCGGGACTGTGACACTCAAACATCTGAGGTTCAAAGGCACCGTTTAATCCGATGGCCAAAAGTTTCCAGAGACAGTCAGCCATCGCACAAAGTACAACGTGCTGCTTAAGAGGACAGGAAGTTACCGCTTCACCTAACTGAACTTCAGGCTGAAATAGAGAAGAATTGACAAGAGACTGTTAAGGTAGAAAGCTTGCTAAGAGAGCTAGCAGCTACGCAGCAAGCAAATTTGCAGCCACTGCAGATATTATAAATCCTGCACTAAAATCACAGTACTTACTTCCAGCTAAAAGAAGAGCCATCTCTACAGGAGTGTGGTTTTCTTTTTCTGCTGTAAAAATGCTCTAAAGCAACCACACACCTTACTCTGCCATAAAAATTTAAACAGAAAACAACCGCTTTCTTGCCTTGATGACCAATCCCACGTCTGGTCAAGGGACGTTCGCTTGTGAGCTCCAGTGGCAGCGTGAGGTACTGCTCGTCAGGTGAGCGAGGAGCACACACATTCCCGGTCCACCATGACCACAAAGTAAACCACATCTTAAACCACGATGAGGGAGGTTTAAACAAAACGCATTCTATTTTGCAAGCGGGAGCACATACATCCTCTCCAATCGCGGCCGCCACACCTCAGGCGGCGGCAGGCAAGGTGTTACGCCGCACCAAGCTCAACTACCAGCA